GCGCCGCGGCAGCCTGGTCTGATGGCACAGATGGCTACAACCGCCGCCGGAGTTGCTGTGGGCTCTGCTGTGGGCCATACCATCGGCCATGCGCTCACGGGAGGGTTCGGTGGAGGAAGCAGCTCCGAAGCCGCCAGGCCTGATATTACTTACCAGGTAAGAACGCGCAGCCGGACGCCAGGCAGCGAGGCACGGGTAACTGGGTCACGTGTAGGCTGATGTAACGGCTGCAGGCGTAAAGACCAGACGAACCGTGGCCGGGAAAGCTGGGCGGACTGTGGTGACGCAGTCTCCGAGGTCACTACGAGGTAACTACCACGGTCACCGGGAGTAGCTTCAAAGTAGTACAAAGGATGCACGAGCGATACGCGCTTGTGGTGGGGTGTTAGTGCTCTGTGCTGTAGCACCCCTCCGATTCGGGCAGGATTTCCCTGTTCAGGTCTGATCTATTGCCAGGCTTCTTCTCTGCTGCTCAGACATCAGCAGAACGCTGTTGCCTTGCGCAAATGCCACCCAGAGTTACCCAAGTGTTTGTAACTTACCCAGCTGTTCAGAATGTGTCGTGCCACTGCCGGAAGCTGCTGTGCTTCCGTCCCCTTAAAAAGTAGCAGGACACTGTCTAGGTTGGTGTGGCTTCCTACGCTGGGGCTGTGGAAAGGGCGCTTAGGGAGGTGTCTGCCGTTGCAGGAGCCCCAGGCAGCGCAGCCTGCCTACCAGCAGCAGCAGCAGCAGTTTGCTCCTTGCCAGTATGAAATGAAACAGTTCCTGGAGTGCGCACAGAACCAGACTGACCTCAAGCTGTGCGAGGGCTTCAGCGAGGTACTGAAGCAGTGCCGCTTTGCTAATGGTAAGTGGACGGTGCTACCAGGCAACTACTGAATTATCCTGGGAACAATATCCTGGGTCTTAAGTCCATCTGGTGAAGAACAGGGATTGACACAGACACCGCAGTCGGAGGAGTCACTGCTGCTCTGGCTTCTGCTGTTGGCCCTGTTCTTGTAGCTGGAGGGGGTGGGGTGAGGATGCATTCCGGAGGTTTGGTGTTGGTATGTGGAATGGAGCTGATGGGCTGGGAGAGGGGTTGCAGCAGGCTTGGAGAAGCAGCGCAGCATCGCTGGGCTGTAGCAGGCGCCTCTGGCACAACTGACAAACCGCCCTGACGTGGGAGAGGAGACGGCTGAGTGACAGTGTCCGGGCAGGCCGAAGCCTGCAGTTTGGCATGTCCCAGGAGATGGATGAGGGGAGAGGGGACGCCCTCGCACACGGCTGCTTTGCTGCAAGGAAGGCACCTGCTGGCGAGGCACTCAGAGCTTGCTGTGGTTAACTGGGATCACTTCTTCCCTTTCAGGTTTAGCCTAAGCCTCCGGAACAAGGTTGCTGCAGACCATCCTAACAACTGACCAGTGAATGAAAAAAAGCTTCAGTAATAAAGTCGAAAGCTGTCTGTCCTCCCGTTAGTTCGTATGTTCCCACTCTCGTCCCCCCCTGTGGCTTATTCCTGCTGCAGCTGTGGTGCAGCGTAGAGCAGCACGTTAATTTGGCACAAATAAACAGTAACGCAGAATGCGCTTGCCTGGGCTAAGCCGGTGGCCGATGGTTGTGCCGAGTGTGACGCGGTGTACGAATAAACTCTCTGCGGGTATCTTGCTCTGGTGGACTTTGGGCTTGAGTCCGAAGGGTGAGCGGGCGAGAGCTGCTTTGGGCAGGCGTCTGTTTGCCTGCCAGCGGCGGTGCCCGAAGGGCTGGGGCTGCAGGAGCTGGACGAGCCCGCAGCTCGGTTAGCTGTGCTTCCGACGGCCGCTCGGGCAGCTGGGCCCCACGGGCAACTTCCGCTGACTGAAGCGCGTGGTGACGGGGAAGGCGGTGACGAGGAAGGCTGCGCCTGACTGCGCTGTCGTGCAGCGGCTCTTTCCCAGCGGCAAACTGCTCTCTGCTCCAGGGAACCTGAGCCTTCCCCTCTGCTCAGGGTCACCCGAGCACCCCAGCTCCTAAGATGACAGCCTTCCATCAGACCCACGGCTCCCAGTGCGGGGCCGAGGCTGAAGGTTCTCCCCCTGGTAGGAGTCTGGGGCTGAAAGGTGAGAAGCTGTTCCCGCCGCCTGCGGCTGCCACAGCCTTTTCCTCCTGGCCCTTGGCCCAGGCGGGTGACACAGCCTCTGCCCCACACGAAAAAGAAAAACCCACCCGTTTCAGAGGTATTTGCGGGTGGAACGTGCAAACCCTCCTTTTTCCATCAGAGGGAGCAGCCGGCTCGTGCCCTGCC